CAGGAACTGGCCAAACCTCTCCCTTTCTAGTGGCGGGTGGGGGGTGGTGGTGGTGGTGGTGGTGGTGGTGGTGGTGGTGTGGGCTAGGTTGCCAAAGAAGATTGGCCTTTTTTTTTTCTTGGATGGGGGGACCCCCTGAGACTAATTTCTCCCAAGTGTTGGTGAGTATGTACCCCCAAAAAGGGGACTCTCAAGGTACCGCGGCCCGGTTCCCCATCTACGGAGACACATGGGTAGCGAGCCGAGCTGAGAGTGAGAGGCGTCTCTGCCAGCCTCTGGGGCTGCTTGGGGCCATTCTGAGCGGGGCGGGTCCCCCATGAATCGGGTCGCTCGGGCTCTGTTGTGGAAGTTCATCACGGAGAAAGGACTGTTGGCAAACAGACATACGTTTAGTCCATCTCCAGATGAGATTCCTCTCGGGATGTTCCCTTTTTAAAAATCATCATTCTTGCCCTAACCGGTTTGGCTCAGTGGATAGAGCAGCGATGGCGAACCTTTTGAGATCGGCGTGCCAGCATTTTGAAAAATCCTAACTTAACTCTGGTGCCCTGTCACATATAGAAATTTTTTGATCTTTGCAACCATGGTAAAACAAAGACTTATATTTCTGATATTCATTTTATATATTTAAATGCCATTTAACAAAGAAAAAATCAACCAAAAAAAATGAGTTGTGTCATAGGTTCGCCATCACTGGGATAGAGCGTCAGCCTGCGGACTCAAGGGTCCCAGGGACTCAAGGGTCCCAGGTACAATTCCGGTCAAGGGCATGTACCTTGGTTGCGGGCACATCCCCAGTAGGGAGTGTGCAGGAGGCAGCTGATCAATGTTTCTCTCTCATCGATGTTTCCAACTCTCTATCCCTCTCGAAAGAAAGAAAGAAAGAAAGAAAGAAAGAAAGTAAATAAAGTATATTTTAAAAAATATTTTAAAAAATAGTTCAGTCTGTGGCTCATTGAAGTCTACATACACACGACCCTTCTAATAAAACCCCACAAAAACCAACAACCAACATATGATCACTGGCTTAAAAAAGACAGACATGCAGACAGACAGACAGACAGACAGACAGAGACAACCTCTGAGTCCCTATCAGGTGAATTGGGGACGATTTGAGCAGGAAAATTGCCCCTGTCCCATGCCCTCATTGAAAGGGGACAGGTTCTGATTTTAAAACAGCCGTCTGTCGGTCGGTCGGTGGGGTACCCCTACCTACCGCTGTGGGCACACAAGCTTGACTCCCAGGGAGAGGGAGACTTGGTTGGGTAGGGTTAAGAACGGGTAAAGTAGCCCCGGCCGGTCGGTCGGTCGGTCGGCGTCTCCGAGAGCTTCAGTACCTTCACCTCTTAGGATCATTGCCATTTTTCCAAAAGCGGTATGAGTGAGGAGAAGGGGAGATTCCCTCTCACAGTCCTCGGAGCATCCCTCGGTTCGCTTCTGTGTGTTTTCTCTTTGTAAATCCAATTTCTGTCTTTTGTTGTTGTTGTTTTCTACACTCTTCCTAAGGTGACCTGGCTTCTGACAGCAGAACAGACGCCTCTACCGTTTCACAGCGGACCTCATGGACAGATTCTGTTGCCTCGCCCTCAGAAACCAGCAGGTGTATACGTCGTGTTCACGGAAAAACATGCAAACCCGTAGAGAACTTTCATGAGTTTACTTGAGCCAAACTGTCCACACTTGCCGGGAAGCAGAACCGCAAGGGGTTGGGACAATGCTCCGGAGAATGGCTGTTTTTCACTGTGTTTTATTCATTCTTTCTCTAAATTATTATTTAATACATTTTTATTGATTTCTGAGAGGAAGGGAGAGGGAGAGAGCGATAGAAACACCCGATACTGACTGGGGATCGAGCCCACAACCGGGCCTGCGCCCTTGACTGAAATCGAACCCGGGACCTTCGGTCTCCAGGCCGATGCTCTACCCACTGACCAAAACCGGCTGGGGCGTTACTTTGTTTTATACGTGACAATCCAATCCAAGGAGGAGACATACGTGGGTTACAGGAAATCCACTGGTGATAGATGAGGGAGGGAGGGAGGAAACGGGGGGTGGGGTGGGGAGTGGGGGTACACCTCTGGGATTGGATATAGAGCAAAATGATAGATGCATACTTCTTTTTTAAAAAAATATATTTTTATTGATTGCAGAGAGGGAGGGAGAGAGAAACATCATTGATGAGGGAGAATCGGGGATCGGCGGCCTCTTGCACGCCCCATAGTGGGGCTCGAGCCCGTGACCCGGGCGGGCATGCTCCCTGGCCCCGAATCGAACCCGGGACCTTAAGGCCCGCCACAGGCTGACATCGGCTCTACCCACTGGGCCAAACCGGCCAGGGCCACACCTACTTCTTTTCCTGAGGTGGGTGCAGGATAGATAGTTAACAGGCAACAATACACCTGATAACAATAACAATGAAGGAATTTATGGTCTCTTTCCTGCAGGGCGCCCAGGGGCATTTGCTTGTGTGGGGGGTGGGGGGAGGGGGGGAGAGTAGGGGGGCTAATGTTACAAGCTCCTCTGACATTTCAGAGGTGTGTTGTCTTAGATGCAAAAGGACCAGAGGTTCAGTTAAGGTAAACGCTGACCTGGTCAGGGAAGACTCAGGCCTAGGACGCGACTACCCACCACAAGTGCTCTTAGTTACAGCCTCCCTTCAGACCATCCCTGCGGTCGATTTAGGCCTTTCAGTTTGCAAGACCGCCAGGCAGGCCTTCCCCTGAGCTCGTCGGGTTAGCACGTGGCCCCTTTTGTCCACAGTTGTGTGGGAATAAAGGAGTCATCCTTTCTGTCAAAGAAGGGAGCTTAGGCAACCTCCATTTTGGCTCCAGGGACTTGCAAGCCGCCATTTCGAAATGGCATAGGTCAACACCTCCCTCTTATCCTCTCCACGCCGCCCCCCCCCCCCCCGTTTTAATTTCGCTGCTTTGTTTCTCTTTTAAACAAATTCACATTTCATTTATGTTGACATAAACTGTACAAAATTAACTTTCTTCACCGAAAATGACAGCTATGTTTTCTGTATTCTTCCTAGATAAACTACAAAACGCATTCTTTGTCGGTTGTTTCGGTTTTGCTTATAAATCGAGACGCGGCAGTAGATGTATCCACGGAAAAAGACAGAATGAAACAGACCGATCTGTTGTCAGGATCCATGGCCTCTGATCCTGTCTTGACCATGAAACAGAAGTGTTCCGCATATTCTAGCTTATGGAGCCCTAACTGGTTTGGCTCAGTGGATAGAGCATCTGCCTGCTGACTAAAAGGTCTCAGGTTTGATTCCGGTCAAGGGCATGTACCTTGGTTGTGGGCACATCCCCAGTAGGAAGTGTGCAGGAGGCAGCTGATCGATGTTTCTCTCTCATCGATGTTTCTAACTCTCTATCCCTCTCCCTTCCTCTCTGTAAAAAAAATAAATAAAATACATTTTAAAAAATAAAAATCATCATTCTCCCCTTTTGGTTCAGTCTCTGGCTCACTGAAGTCTACATACACGTGACCCTCCTAAAAAAAAACAACAAAAAAAACCCCACCCCACAAAAACCAACAACCAAGTAAGTTGGCATCACTGGCTTGAGTCAAACTGTCCACACTTGCCGGGAAGCAGAACCGCAAGGGTTTGGACAATGCTCCAGAGAATGGCTGTTTTTCACTTTGTTTTATTCATTCTTTTTTCTAAATTATTATTTAATACATTTTTATTGATTTCTGAGAGGAAGGAAGGGAGAGGGAGAGAGCGATAGAAACGTCCAGGATGACAGAGGATCACCCGTCCGCTGCTTCCTGCACACACGCTCCTGGGGAACGAGCCCACAACCGGGCCTGCGCCCTTGACTGTAATCGAACCCAGGGCCCCTTCGGTCCCCAGGCCGATGCTCTACCCACTGACCAAAACCGGCCGGGGCGTCACTTTGTTTAATACGTGACAATCCAATTCAAGGAGGAGACATAAGTGGGTTACAGGAAATCCACTGGTGATAGATGAAGGAGGGAGGGAGCGATGGAGGTACCAAAGTGGGGCGGGGGGGGGGGGGGGCGACCTCTGGGATTGAGTAAAAAGTGAAATGATAGACGCACACTTCTTTTTATTTATTTTATTGATGTTTTACAGAGAGGAAGGGAGAGGGAGGGAGAGAGAAACCTCATCAATGAGAGAGAATCTTGGACCGGCCGCCTCCTGCACGCCCCCTAGTGGGGCTCGAGCCTGTGACCCGGGCGGGCGTGAGGGCGGGCATGCGCCCCGGTACCCAAAATCGAACCCGGGACCTTAAGGTCCGCCGCAGGCTGACCTCGGCTCTACCCACTGAGCCAAACCGGCCAGGGCCACACCTACTTCTTTTCCTGAGGTGGGTGCAGGATAGATAGTTAACAGGCAACAATACACGTGATAACAATAGCAATGAAGGAATTTATGGTCTGTCCTGCAGAGCCCCCAGGCGCATTTGCTTGTGTGTGTGTGTGGGGGGGCGGGGGGGGGCTCGGGGCGGGGACGGCGGGATGTTACAAGTTCCTCTGACATTTTATGGCATAGGTATGTTGTGTCTTAGATGCTAAGGTAAACACTGACCTGGTCTGGGAAGACTCCGGCCTAGGTAGGATGGGACTACCCACCACTACTGCTCTTAGTAACAGTCTCCCTTCAGACCATCCCTGCGGTGGCTTTAGGCCTCTCGGTTTGCAAGACCACCAGGCAGGCCTTCCCCTGAGCTCCTAGGGTTAGCATGTGGCCCCTTTCGTCGTCCACAGTTGTGTGGGAATAAAGGAGTCATCCTTTCTGTCAAAGAAGGGAGTTTAGGCAGCTTCCCTTTTGGCTCCAGGGGCTTGGCAGCCGCCCTCCCTCTTATCCTCTCCACCCCGCCTCCACCACCCCCCCCCCCCCGTTTTCATTTCGCTGTTTTGTTTTTCCATTAAACAAATTTACATTTTATTTATGTTGACATAAACTGCACAAAATTGACTTTCTTCACCGAAAATGACAGCGATGTTTTCTGTATTCCTAGACCAACTACAAAACGCATTCTTGTCGGTTGTCTCGGTTTCGCTTATAAATCGAGACGCGGCAGTAGATGTAACCACGGAAAAAGACGGAATGAAACAGACCGATCTGTTGTCAGGATCCATGGCCTCTGATCCTGTCTTGACCGTGAAACGGAAGTGTGCCACATATTCTTGCTAAAAAGCTTATGAGGATATAGGCTCAACGAAGGAATGTAAACAGCGACACCCAGATGTGGGTGTAAGGATGGCGGGTTCTTTCTTCAATGTTTCACAGTCATTTGTTTAAGATCATCGAATAAAGACAAAAATCCACACCGAAATCCTTGTCTGGCAAGCTCACGTTTCTTTCACTACCTGGTCGTTTCACTGTTGGTTACAGATTTCTCGTAGCACACTTAAAACTCCTGCTAGTCAGAGGTTAGTCGTGAGCTTCATTGCACAATTTTATGAAACAGATTCCTTCCACACCTTCTCAAAATTTATTTCTTCAAAGAACTGATAACTCAATGCCCAACAACTGTGACAATGAATGTGATGTCTGCAATGACCTCACTAAAACAAGCCCAAAGTGCCATCGGCAGAGATCACGCAGAAGTGCAACGTGGCGCTTCCGATGATGCCTGCCGCCCTCTGGAAGAACAACAGTTCGTTCTCCAAAGCATGAGAGTTCACACCGGGGCCATTTAAGCAGAGGATCAGTGGCTAATCTACTCAAGAGATCCAGTGATTAAGTGACCCACCTATATCTTACAGCTTTTCTCTGTTTCCTTTCAAATTTCTCAGATTTTTTTTCAATATCAAATATAAGAGAGAACGCATTTTAAAAGTCCCTCGGGTATTTCCGACACTTTCGGAATTATCTGTAGGAAGCTCTGACTTAGTTGTGTAGACTTTGATGTGTGTGTCCACCGTTAAATCCAAATCGTGTTTCACATCGAAATGCATGTTAAGCAAAGCTAAGCTACTTGACCTTTGCCCTGTCAAAGTGTTCCTCGGGTGTGCTTTGAGATGCTTTGACCGTTTTCATAGCGTTCGTTCTCAACCTTCATCACAGGGAGAATTCGTAGGACCTTTAGCAATGTATAAACATGAGGAAAAAACTTGATGTCTGGCAGGTGGAGGGTGCCATGGTGGATGGAAGCTCTATATCTTTTCCTCTGGGTTTCCACTTGATTCTCCAACAATGCAGCTCAGCTGAGAGTGCTGCATCGGGATTGGGTAAGTCGCTGCCGTACATGTCAGCCTGGTGCTCCTCCGGCGTATTGAATTTGAGCCGTACCGTGACAGAGGGGACCAGAGATCAGCATTGAAGAGCTTTGGAGGAACTGTTCTGAGACTATCTCTTTCAGTTCCTGAACAATGTGTTCCACTGTTGTGCCGCTTAGAGGCTCTTTATAGCACCTCTCGGAAGTCAGCTGAGACTCCAGGTTCCCTTGCTGAGCTCTGCGGAGCTTCCCGGGGAGCTTCATCAGAATAGCAAGTGTGGTTGCCAAATTGGTGGCTTCCTCAAACCAAAATTCACAATAAACTTCAATATCTTCCATCACTTCATGTAGCGAATGCAGCGCCTGCAGTCGAGCTACTGGCTGCAGAGAAGACATCAGAGGTCTGACCCTGGAGATTTTTCCCAGAGGCTCCTGTGAAAGGTAGAACGTTTTTAAGAACAACAATGGTAACCACGAAATCAAAATCTGTTGCTGCACTGCAGAGTGCGAATGCTCGGCCCGCCATACAGTTTTCCCATCTACTATGTGTGTCCTCATGTATACCGCCTACACAGAAAACAAGCGCTTGCAGGAGCTCCACTACAATTTCAAAAGCATCGTGCCCGCCCGCCCGCTGAGAATGGCAAATTTCCTTCAGTTCGTTCCCGCTTTCTTCATTGTTCTGGAAGAGGACAGAAATGACACTGTCAAGCTCTAAAAGCGGTTGTGGTGACGGATGGAAAAAGATCAAACTTCCTCCATTGTTCCAAACGCAACAGACGCTCCCGTGACAGGCACCCATCTGGCCGACCGCGGACTTCAGGCACAGGGAAGAGCAGAGTGTGTAGACAGCTTGGGGAGGGATGTTTCTCCAAAAGTCTTTAATAAAAAAAAAATATTTTATTGATTTTTTACAGAGAGGAAGGGAGAGAGATAGAGAGTTAGAAACATCGATGAGAGAGAAACATCCATCAGCTGCCTCCTGCACATCTCCCACTGGGGATGTGCCCGCAACCCAGGTACATGCCCTTGACCGGAATCGAACCTGAGACCTTTCGGTCCGCAGGCCGACGCTCTACCCACTGAGCCAAACCGGTTTCGGCTCTCCAAAAGTCTAGAAGCAACAACTTTCGTTTTGGAAGGAAAGCCACTGGACACAATGTAAGCCTGGCCACGACAATATTCCAGGCGTAATCCCCACTTCTCTGGTCTCGTCGTGGAAATGTCACAGCCAAAATTTCGGCAGCGGCTTCAGAAGGCAGGAAACCCACAGATTCCTCTCTCAGGTCACGAGCTTCGTCAGCAAACCTCACCAACGCGGGCAGGTGCTCTTCCCCTGCTGTGTCCACTACGTGCGTGCGTGCGTGCGTCCGTCCCTCTGTCAGGGGCCATGGAAAAGAAGGGAGAGTCTCTCACTTCCCCGAATGCGGCTCTCACGGATCTCTAGCATCTGCTTCTGCTTGTACTTTTGAACAGAACGGTGCGTTGACTGCTGTGGTCTCAAAGGGCTTTCTCAGAGAGAACCTCTTCACCAGAATTTATCGGGCACTCCGACAGTGCCTGCCTGCCTGCCTGCCTGCCTGCAAGTTCTCGGGAGTGAAGAGGCCTTCTGGGATTTCATCAGTTTGGGGTGGGTGATCCTGTCCTAGGCCGGCATCTTCCCTGACAGAGGTCCATCTTTACCTGGACTGAGCCTGTCTGTCGCTTTCTTTCTTGCATCCACAATCACACATCTTTGAAATGTCAAGGGGATTTTCCATCTTTTCTGGAGCCCTGGAATCACAGGCCCGGCTCTGTGATTATCACAAACCCCATCACGATGACCGAGTTCATGATTGACTATATGAGCTATCCTACACCCACCCACCTAGGTAAAAGAAGTCTGTGTCCATCATTTTACTTTGCATCCAATCCCAGAGGTTGGCCCACTTTGCTTTCTCCCACGTTCCTCAAATGTCACCAGTGGATTTCATGTAACCCACTCCTCTTTGGATTGGAGTGTATAAAATAAGGGGGGGGGCGACATTGCCATTCTTGGGAACATCCTCTCCAACCGTTCGTTGAGATAGTGCTTCCCGGCGTGCGTGCGACATTTGTGGACAGTTTGGCTCAAAGACACTCACAGAAATTCTGCACAGGTTGGAGGATTTCTTACGTTGTTGACAAATGCCACACACGCACACATGTGCGTGCATTTGGTTCACAGTTGCCGCCTGTGGGGCTCTTTCAGGTTTGTCCATTTTCCTTCCTCTTTCTCACAGGGAGCAAGGAGGCAGCGAGTGAAATCACCAGTGAGTGTGTGATATGAGACTGACGATTTCCCGTGGAAAGCGGGTGAGCGGGCGGGTGGGCGGAGGGGGGGGAGGGAGGAAAGGAGTGAGGGAGGGAGGGAGGGAGGGGAGGAGGGAGGGAGGGAGGGAGGACACATCCATCCATCCATCCATCCATCCATGGATGGAAATTAAATGTTTAACAAACAGTGATGGTGAGTACTCAAGTCCTAGGCCGCTACCTTCCCTGACAAAGGTCAATCTTTCTTTTTTAAAAAAAATTTATTATTATTATTTTTTAAAATATATATTTTATTGATTTTTTACAGACAGGAAGGGAGAGGGATAGAGAGTTAGAAACATCGATGAGAGAGAAACATCCATCAGCTGCCTCCTGCATACCCCCCACTGGGGATGTGCCTGCAACCAAGGTACATGCCCTTGACTGGAATCAAACCCGGGACCCTTGAGTCCTCAGGCTGACGCTCTATCCACTGAGCCAAACTGGTCAGAGCTTTTTTTTTGTGTGCTTTTATTGATTTCAAAGAGGAAGAGAGAGAGAGAGAGAGAGAGAGAGAGAGATCAATGATGACAGAGAATTGTTTTTCCACTTGTTTATTCATTCTTCCCTAGCTTTTAAAAAAATATACAACAGTAGCAATGAGGGAATTTGTGGTCTCTACCCTGGGACCCTGGGCTGTGCCCTGAGGGCACTGGGAAAAAGGAAAGTGACTAGTTACCGGGACATTCACTACTCCAAAGACATGTGATCCTAGACTCTAGGACCTAGAGGCATAGAAAGACAATAGGCTCAGATGCCAGTAAGTTCAAAGGTGATCTCTATCAGGGGAGATACCAGGCCTAGGGTGTGACTGCCCACTCACTATACACTGCTTTCTACTTTAAGAAGTTTTTTTTTTTTTAAATTCAGAACATCCTGGGTGGTCACTTGAGGTGTCTGAGTTTGCAAGGCCAGGCCTCCCCCGAGTGGGTCAGGTTAGCATGTGGCCCCTTTTCATCCACAATGTTATGGGTTGGCTCAACGAGATAGACCACCGACTCAGAATCTAAATGTAAAAGCCTGTTATTAAGCTGGCCAGCTGACCACAGCACCTATCTCCCCCTCTGGGAGATTCGGAGCATGTGGCAGAGATCAAGGGTGCAGTATGATCCTTTATAGCAAAACAGTGTTAAAAAAAATACAAAGCATTTCATTAGAAGTTCACAAAAAGTTCATGAGAATGGAGCGGAGGTAAACAGAGTCACACCTGGCTGGATTTAATCTTAACACATTGTTTTCTAAGACAATCCAGCAATTTTTCTCTGCCACGGTTCCTGACATTGACACAATCGGTAACCTTTTCCAGGCCGCAGTCCCTCCCCCTCCCACATTCCCTTACCCTTCCATGCCGCAGTCCCCAGTCCCTCAACCTAGCACACACAATGCAAAGCTTCTTATGTATTAGCTTTTTAAAAAAATATACAACAGTAGCAATGAGGGAATTTGTGGTCTCTACCCTGGGACCCTGGGCTGTGCCCTGAGGGCACTGGGATAAAGGAAAGTGACTAGTTACCGGGACATTCACTACTCCAAAGACATGTGATCCTAGACTCTAGGACCTAGAGGCATAGAAAGACAATAGGCTCAGATGCCAGTAAGTTCAAAGGTGATCTCTCTCAGGGGAGATACCGGGCCTAGGGAGTGACTGCCCACTCACTGCTTTCTACTTTAAAAAGTTTTTTTTTTTTAATTCAGAACATCCTGGGTGGTCACTTGAGGTGTCTGAGTTTGCAAGACCAGGCCTTTCATTTTATCCTATTGCATTTCATTTCATTTTATTCACCGATGTGTCCCCCAATAAATTCAATTCCGGAAAAAAAATAATAACTGAAAGGAAGCAGAGAAAATGATTCCTCCGTTGTTGTTGCCCCGTGAATACTCGCCGCCTTTAGGTCTTCATTGTCGTGACACACAAACCTGCCCTCCGCCCCCCTTGAGGTTTTAAAGGCAAAAAGTGTTCTGGGTACGTCCTCTCGGTCCTCTGTCAGGCCCCACCCCCCAAAAAACTTTTCCAGTCTCCCTTCCGCTGTGTGTGTGTGTGTGTGTGTGTGTGTGTGTGTGTGTGGTGTGTGTGCGGTGTGTGTGTGTTTTCTTGGAGTTCCATACCATTAACCTGAGAAACACTCAAACCTGTAAATAATTTCTGTGATGAGTTTATTTGAACCAGACTGTCGGCAATTGCCGGGAAGCAGAATCTCAAGGAATTAAAAATCTATTCCTTTCAAGGCAGGGAGGAGGCCTTTCCGAGGCCTAGATAACAAAGTCCGGAGGCTAGACCAGGGGTGAAGGATAAACTTAAGTCATCATATAGGAGTTTAAAAGCACCCTGTCTCTGCATAGATACACAGCACAGCAAAGCCCAAAGTCCACAAGCATGTCTTTGACCTATTTTTATAAATCACCATCCAAGGATGAGACTTGTAAGTGGTTTCAAACACTGTCCTACACTCTTTCCTGCTGTTGACCAGTGGGTTCCATGAAATCCAGTGATGATAGATGAGGGAGGTGGGAGAAAGCAAAGAGGCGGGGGAGGGGGGGTTGGTAAGCTGTAAAATGATAGTGAGCGGTCAAAAATTAACATGGCAACAGTAACAATGAGGGAATTTGTGGTCTTTGCCCTGGGACTCTGGGCTGTGGCCCAAGGGCACTGGAAAAAAGGGAAGTGACTAGTTATCTGTTGTCATTCACCAGTCCAAAGATATGTGACCCGCCCTAAACCTGTTTTGCTCAGTGGATAGAGTGTTGGCCTGCGGGTCTGCGGACTGAAAGATCACAGGTTTGATTCCGGTCAAGGGCATGTACCTTGGATGTGGGCACATCCTCAGTTGGAGATGTGCAGGAGGCAGCTGATCGATGGTTCTCTCTCATCGATGTTTCTAACTCTCTGTCCCTCTCCCTTCCTCTCTGTAGAAAATCAATAAAATATATATAAAAAGATAAATATTCATTTATCGTACAGTTAAGGCTGACGCTCTATCCACTGAGTCAAGCTGGGCAGGGCAACATGTGGCCCCTTTTCATCCACAATGCAAAGCTTCTTATGTATGTACACCTTTCATTTTATCCTATTGCATTTCATTTCATTTTATTCACCGATGTGTCCCCCAATAAATTCAATTCCGAAAAAAAAATAATAACTGAAAGGAAACAAAGAGAGAAAATGATTCCTCCTTTGTTTTTTTGCCCCGTGAATACTCGCCCGCGCTTAGGTCTTCAGAGTCGTCGTTGTCGTCCCCCCCACCCCCCGCCTCCGCCCCCCCACCGCGGGTTGAGGTTTTAAGGGTCCTGCGCCGCAAAAAGTGTTCTGGGTCCATCCTTCCAGTCTCCATTCCGCTGCCAGGCCATGTCGCGCGCCCAAGGGGTCTTCCTGGGTAGAGCTCAGGTGTTGGACGCCTCTTCCTGGGTAGAGCTCAGGTGTTGGACGCCCCGCCCTGCCGCCCCGCCACCCGCCACGGGACCCGGCGGACTTGGTCCCCTTGTGCCCTGCCACCCCCCTCCCCACAAACACACACACAGTGGGCGGCAGGGTGCCCGCCCAGGCCGGGCCCACGGCTCGGCAGGGTGCCCGCTCTTGATCTTGGTGTTCGTGCGCCACCTGACGGCCGTTTTTTTAAAAATACTTTTTTTGTTTTTTTTACAGAGAGAAAGGGAGAGAGATAGAGAGTTAGAAACATCGATGAGAGAGAACCATCAATCAGCTGCTTCCTGCACACTTCCTACTGGATATATGGCCCCAACCAAAGTTCATGCCCTTGAAAGGAATCGAACCCGGGACCTTTCAGTACGCAGGCCGACGCTCTATGCACTGAGCCAAACTGGCTAGAGCCCATTTTTCTAAATCATTTAGGACAATAAAGCACAGTGAAGTGAAGATGAGTGCTATGGGCTGAATGCTTGTGACTCCCACCAAGCCCCAAATTCATAAATTGAAATCCTATTACGCCAGCTAATGGGATTAGGAGCTGGAGCTTTGGGATGGGATTAGGTCCTGGGGGTGGAGTCCTCAGGAGGAGATTTGTGCCCTTATAAAGGCCGCCTGAGAGAGCTGCCTGCCTCATTCACCAAGTGAGACTGCAACAAGTCGGAGGCCTGCCATTGAAAGAGGGCCCTCACCGACCGACCGACCATACATACGAGGCGCTCTAGCTCGCTTGGACTCTCGCAGCGCGCGCGCGCGAGCGCGGAGGCGAACGGCGAACCAGTATGATGGCGGAACAAGATGTGGAAAACGAGCTTCTGGATTATGAGGAAGATGAAGAACCCCAGGCTCCTACAGAGAGCACCCCAATACCCCCCAAGAAAGATGCCAAGGGGTCCTACGTTTCCATCCACAGCTCTGGCTTCCGGGACTTTCTGCTGAAGCCTGAGCTCCTGAGGGCCATAGGGGACTGTGGCTTTGAGCATCCATCTGAGGTTCAGCACCAGTGCATCCCCCAAGCCATCCTGGGCATGGATATCCTGTGCCAGGCCAAGTCTGGAATGGGTAAGACTGCAGTCTTCGTGCTGGCCACCCTTCAGCAGATCGAGCCCATCAATGGACAGGTGGCCGTGCTGGTCATGTGCCACACTCGGGAGCTGGCCTTTCAGATCAGGAAGGAGTATGAGCGCTTCTCCAAGTACATGCCCAGTGTCAAGGTGTCCGTGTTCTTCGGGGGTCTCTCCATCAAGAAGGACGAAGAGGTGTTGAAGAAGAACTGTCCCCACATCGTGGTGGGGACTCCAGGTCGCATCTTGGCACTCGTGCGGAACAGGAGCCTCAACTTGAGAAATGTGAAGCACTTCCTGCTGGACGAGTGTGACAAGATGCTGGAGCAGCTAGACATGCGGCGGGACGTACAGGAGATCTTTCGCCTGACGCCACGCGAGAAGCAGTGCATGATGTTCAGTGCCACGCTGAGCAAAGAGATCCGGCCTGTCTGCAGGAAGTTCATGCAAGATCCCCTGGAAGTGTCGGTGGACGACGACACCAAGCTCACGCTGCATGGGCTGCAGCAATACTATGTCGAGCTCAAAGAGAGAGAAAAGAACCGTCAACTCCTTGACCTCCTGGACGTGCTAGAGTTTAACCAGGTGGTGATCTTCGTGAGGTCGGTGCAGCGCTGCATAGCCCTGGCCCAGCTACTCGTGCAACAGAACTTCCCAGCCATCGCCATCCACAGGGCCATGGCCCAGGAGGAGCGCCTAGCATGCTACCAGCAGTTCAAGGACTTTCAGCGGCGGATCCTGGTGGCCACCGATCTGTTTGGCCGAGGGATGGACATTGAGCGAGTCAACATCGTCTTCAATTATGACATGCCTGGGGACTCGGACACCTACCTCCACCGGGTGGCCCGTGCCGGGCGCTTTGGCACCAAAGGCCTGGCTATCACTTTTGTGTCTCATGAGAATGATGCCAAAATCCTCAATGAGGTTCAGGGTCGGTTTGAAGTCAATGTGGCGGAGCTTCCTGAAGAAATGGACATCTCCACATACATGGAGCCGAGCCGCTAACCACACACCTGACATCCCAGAACCACCCTGCTTCCCACGTGCTGCTTCAACTCCTCTTTCTAGGCAACAGTGTGGCTTTCTTGCTCTGTTCAAACACTGTACATTTGTGTAACAATAAATTTGCATTATGGAAAAAATAAAAATATGGGCTTGTATTTTGCTTCATATATATATATATATATATATATATATATATATATATTGCTAGATTGATAGAAATATTCCAACTATTATACCGAGAATTCTTGTCTACCCCTCACCAGTTCTCCCTAATGTTCCATTAGCATGGAACATTTGTTAAAACTAAGACGTCTGCATATTATTATTAACTAAGCTGCAAATTTTATTCAGATTTCACCAATTTTTTGTCATAATGCACTTTGTCGTTCCTGGATCCAATTTGGGATACCACACTGCATTTAACATCTAGTAATTTTGTCAGAAAATATAGTTAGACGAAAGTCCCAACCAAAATTAGATTCTGTTCTGATTCATTCTAAGAATAAGTGTTCTGCAGTTATTATCAAGAATTATGTCAATGTATGATAAAAATAAAATTTTAATCCTATTATTTTCTTCCAAGTTTCAAACTGGAGAACCAACCGGAATCCCAAGTGGTGTCAAATACTGTTCTACAGTGTATTGCAATTTAGCAGTGACTCCCAAGTGCTGTCAAACACTGCTCTACACTGATTCCTGATGTATTTTTTTAAATAAATGTATTTCTTTATTGATTTTAGAGAGGAAGGGAGAGGTAGAGAGACTGAAACATCCATGATGAGAGAGGATCATGGATCAGCTGCCTCTTGCACGCCCCCTACTGGGGATTGAGCCTGCAACCCGGGCCTGTGCCCTTGGCCAGAATGGAACCCGAGACCCTTCAGTCTGCAGGCTGATGCTCTATCCGCTGAGCCAAACCGGCTAGGGCTTGATGTGTTTTTTAATATATATATATATATATATATATATATATATATATATATATATATTTTTTTTTATTGATTTCAGAGAGGAAGGGAGAGGGAGAGATTGAAACATCCACGATAAGAGAGGATCATGGATCGGCTGCCTCCTGCACACCCCGTACTGGGGATCTAGCCCGAATCCCGGGCATGTGCCCTTGACCGAAATAAAAACTGGGACCTTTTGGCTCTATCCACTGAGCCAAACCAACTAGGGCTAGTTTTTTTTTTTTTTTTGAGTGTGGGGGAAAAAAAGAGAGTAGAAGGGAAGAGGGGAGGGAAGGAGAGGGAGGGAGAGAGAGAGAGATTGCTTATTTATTCGTCGGTAGCTTTTAAATATATATATATATATACAAATGTTCCTTTGTTCAAAATTTTAAATCTCCGAAAGCTCTTCACCGATTGCTTTGAATTTTTTAAAAAATATATTTTATTGATTTTTCACAGAGAGGAAGGGAGAGAGATAGAGAGTTAGAAACATAGATGAGAGAGAAACATTGATCAGCTGCCTCCTGCACATCTCCTACTGGGGATGTGCCCGCAACCCCAGTACATGGCCTTGACCGGAATCGAACCTGGGACCTTTCAGTCCGCAGGCCGACGCACGATCCATTGAGCCAAACCGGTTTTTGCCGATTGCTTAGAAATTTTGACACAACGTTGCATTCGAACACGCGCGTGCTTTTATATATCTATATACCTACTATTATATAGATGTCACACCTGTGACAGGTAAAAACATGCCTTTTTTGAAAAGTAGCGCCATCTGTTGGACGTAAATGCAACACACGCTATACTAAATATTTTACGATTCCATTTCAATGTTTCTGTTTACAATTATAAATTGCAGATAAAATTAACCACAAATATGCATGTCCAGCTGCAAAACGATCCATCAGCTAAGATATTCTCACATCAATTGCTGGGAAATGGGAACGGAAAGGTGCCGGTTGATCTGACCTCAGGACGAATTTCATTGCCTCATAACTTCTGCAATTTAGTGACGTCAAAAGAAGAATTGGTTGAAGAAGTAATTCCCAATATTCAAACCAATTATAAGAATCATGATTGGCTGAGTGAACGAGCTATTCTTGCGGCCAAGAACAAAGATGTCTTAACAATATCATTCAGTCTAACATTCAAAGCGAGGCAGTCACATACAAGTCTGTCGACACTGTTGTGGAAGCAGATGAAGCGATTAATTATCCAACAGAATTTTTGAATTCACTCGATCTGCCAGGGATGCCACCGCATGTACTGCAATTGAAAATCGGCGCGCCAATTACCATGTTGTGAAATGGCAACCAGCCCAAGCGTTGACAGGCTCGCGGCTTGCAGTAAAAAAATTAACGAGCAATGTCATAGAAACAACAATCTTGACAGGACCTTTCAAAGGTGAAGATGTCCTCATTCCTCGCATTCCTATAATTCCAACGGATATGCCATTTCAATTTAAGAGATTGCAATTCCCAATTTGATTGGCGTTTGCAATCACCGTTAGCAAAGCTCAAGGCCAATCTTTAGAATTGTGCGGTTTAGATCTAGACGTGGATTGCTTCTCACATGGACAATTATATGTTGCGTGTTCTAGAGTCGGCAAACCAGACAATCTCTATATCTGCACAGACAATGGAACAACACAAAATGTTGCATACCCACAGGCATTGTGAAATTAAGCGTATTAGAA